TTGATTTTATCAATGCATGGCAAGCATTGTGACGATGTAACAAAACAGTAATAATTTTAATGCATCAAGGCCGACAACTGACTTGCTAAAGAGGGTATGAACTCGATTCATAAGAGACTAACAAACGCCATGACAGGCACGTTTACGTTTCACTGTCTCAAGACTTATCGAAATATGACCGCAGCTAAGTGTGCGTGATATTTGTAATCATTTGCTTGGATTTGTTTCGAAATATATTGTCTCATAAAAACAGTCAGTAGCACTGAAGAGTTTGGTAAACACTGGCTAATGCCTGAATTTCGTGTTACATTGCATTATGTCGTGTCCTATTGTGTTGTCATGTTGTATTGTACTAGGGCTGCAAACGAACAATTATTTTAATAATCGATTATTCTGTTTATTATTTTGGCACAAATTACTGGAGATTCAATTCCGGGTTTGGTTCGGAACATGTCAGGAAAAGGCAAAATAGTTGTTGGTATTCGAGGATAAGTGCAGATATTTGCAAAATGTCTTGTTTTGATTCAACAAAAAAGATAATCAATCCGTTGGCTTTCATGAAGGATGACAGAAACCGGAGAATATTTTTTGGTCAAAGGGTGGAATTCACGAGGTTTGGAAATGTTTTGGTGAAACAAGGTCACTAAACGATTCATGGATTAAGAACAATAGTTATTGATGAATCTGAGAAATGATTGTCGTTTAATCAATTAATCATTGCACCTCTGTTGTAGAATATCGTGTTGTATCGATTTGTGCATTGTATCTTATCATGTATCTTATCTTATGTGTTGGTTGTATGGTATCATATGGTTTGTTGCATTGCATGATAGGTTGGTGGCTTCCCAAGAGCGACTGGGAAAAAAAAAGCTTAGTGCCGCTATTTAAAACAGAAAAAAAAACATGCCAAATAAACAAATCACATGCTCACTTCACAACACCACCATTGTCACCGCCTTTCCTAAAATATTTGACAGTATATTTGACAGTAAGAAACACTGATTAGACATTCACCTGTGGGACTTGGACGAGAACCATTTTCGTATTATTAACAATAGGATGACAGCAACTCTTTATCTTAAAAGAATTTGTCAACATCTTCACACCGTCTACTACGTATTGTCGTACAGTAACAACAACAGCATGAGCATCAGAAGCATTTAGCAGACAGGCTGCCAACTACTGCTAACGACGAGCAGCGAGTTTAGCACCAGAATGCAGAAACACACGTTTAGTCTCTTAAAACGTGCACGTCGCTAGAAGAGTGTGACGGTGTTTGTTTCATCCGAACGTCTTAGCACGCAGCTATGCTAATGCTTAGCCGATGCTAAATTAAACTAAGCTAAGCTAAGAGCATGATGCTTCTTCTTACCTTGTGTGTTCCCGAAAAGCATCAAAGTGTCGTTCATCGACGACAACATCAGCGACAGGTGGCCAAAGCGTGGATGGAAAAGCGGCCAAAGCGCCGGCGGCGGCGGTATGTCACGTCGGCATACAAACGCTGCGCTAGTCCAACTTTTCGGTCAACTTTTCACTTTTCAACTCGGACCGTAGGCGGCCCGCCATCTTGTTTCTGAGCGCGTGCGTGTAGGGGTTGTGAGAGTGTCCGCGCACACGCATGCATGGATAGAGGGTGGTGGTGGTGGGGTCAAAATGACGTCACGCTCCAAAGTTATCCCCTTGAGATACAATACTTGATATGCAGCTAAATTAATGTTGATTACTTCGTGGATATTTACCCCATGTCGTACTTAATTTTAATTTGGGATTTGAAAACTTTATATATACTGAATCTACATCCATTTTCAACACATCCTGAACAGGGTCGTGGGAGTGTGCTGGACCATTATATAATACTTTATTTGATTACAATGAATCCATTAAGACATGATTTATTGAAACGAGTAAATATAAAATAACACATATATTTCAACTAATCCATTTTCGAAAAAGAACTGCTACATTGGGTATTTGAATAACAAAAATGAAGAAAGCGGAAGTGACCGATTGTTCATGTACAGCGACGAACAAGATGGCGACCGGCTGAATCTCGGGGACGTGTTTTGGAGTTTTGTTGCGGTGCTTGCAGCCGAAGCCGAGCTGGAGTTCCGGCGGACATGCGGCGCAGATGCCTCGCGTGAACCGGACGACGCTGCTGTGGCTGCTGGTCGCGAGCAGCCTAATTTTTCTGCTTTTCCAGCTCCGCTACTACCGGAACTACGCAAGCGAGGTCAGACGGCGGTGGCGGAAGATATGACGTCACTTCAGGGCGACATGCAGTGCAGTATTATGAAAAATAGAGGCAACGTTCGCAGTCTTTAACGCATTTTCTACTCTCTTACCACTACTTTTTAACCGTGCGTGATAATTCAACTAAAGGGTCATTTGAAACCCAGCATGTCTCCATATAAGTGTTTTTGAATGTGAAACGGCATCACAAAGAAAAACTGAGACACCAGAATGGGGGTCCGCAGGCCAAGGTGCTCATGTTATGACAAATGATGTCTTTTCCAGACTGGGCCGCACATCCTGAGACGCACGCCTGGTCACATGACCGCCAGTGACATCCAATGGGTGAGTGGAGAATGATGGAGATGACAGATGCTCTGTTCATCACGTGCCCAACTTAAATTCTCACAACAATAACATTCATGCATACAGCAAACCCCTTAGCCTCCACCCACGTTACATTCCAGACCACCCCCTCAATAAGTGAAATGCCTGACGTAGAAAGACCCTATTTCCATACACCGCGGGCATGTTCATAGAGGAAGAATAAGGTGGAAAAATGTGAAAAAGATCCAAGGGGTGTGAAAGCTTTCCCAAAGTGTCATATTGAGTCATGTGAGATGTTTGCTCAGCAAAGCATGAAGACGTTCCTGCGTTTGTCGCGGCGTTTCCAACTGCCGCTGTTCCTGGCCGACCCCACCCTGCTCGGGCTCCTGACGCAGGACGCCTTGCTGGAGCGCGAGCGGTCGCTGCGCGAGGCTCACTGCAGCTTCCTGTGCAGCGGCCGAGCGGTGGCGTCCTTCGGCCTGCTGGCCAATGCGTGGACCTACAACGTGAGTGCAGCGCTGCGCCATGCAGCCGCTCCCGCCGGCTCTACTGTCTGATTTCCCCGACTTCCTCTCTTGGCAGGCCGCCTTCCGATTGGCCGCCGAGGAGAAAGGCTTTGAGCTGCTGGAGGTGCGAGGGGAAGACCCTCGATTGGCCAGTTTGGACCTCCTGTCAGGGGAGGACATCCCCCTGCACCTCCTGCTCCGCCTCCATGGCTATATCATCCAGGTGGGCGGGACCACACGTTTGCAAACATGGTGTCTACAGCTGCAACAGTTAATTGACAACAAATTTATGTCAATGGACAACTATTTTGATCATCTCAGAGAGACCTTGATTCACTTCAAATTGTCCAAATCCTTAGAATTATCATGTCCAAGATGTTCTTTCCAATAATATGTTCTATGCGCCCTGCTAGTCCAAACACAGCATTCTAATGAATGTTGCGTTTCTGGAATATGAATGAAGCCGCAAAATCCAGCCTTTTTGATCCAGTATGTTGTATTAGCTTTAATGGAGTGTACTTTTTACTTCTACTCAGACAAGTTCAATTCAGCCAAAATGTGACTGATTGGCTTTCACTGTTGAACTTTTCCACCATTAGCGTACTTTTATGGTTTGTAGGTGGTCTTCCTGTATGAGCGTAGCGGCAACTACTTGTGGCACGGTCCGCTGCGCCTCAAAACCAACGCGGACCACGGCTTTGCGCCCTTCGCGCAGATGGACTTCGGACGCCACGCAGGCGCCTATGACAGGTGATTTCACGGCGGTGGCAATGCGTCCAATGTGAAGTGAATGACACTTCTTTGCTGCCCCCACTCCAACCCCGCAGGCCCCAGCTGATACTGACGGTCGTGGACGGTCTGGATATCGCCATCCCTCTGAACATTTCCGGCTTCCTGGCTCAGCATCGGCGCGCTCGCTTTCTGGAGTGCCGATACAGAGACGCGCGACGGTTTCTGCGGGTATGACCTTTGAACTTTTCATTTGGTCACGTGATGCCAACAATGATGCATTTGTGCTTGTGTGTGCGCAGCTCTACCCTGACGACTCATCTCCCGAGGCGCTGGATTTTCGTAACAAAGCCAAGTCTTTGCTTCAGGTGGCCGCCAAAACCCTCGCACGTCTGCACGTTCCCTTCTGGATCAGCAGCGGCACCTGCTTGGGTAGAGAAACACATGGGACCGTTCAGTCACGCTGTGTTGACAGACAATTTGAGGACATCTCCTCGGAATCGTGAGGTCACCTTAAGGCATGGGGGGATTTTTGCCCTTAGAAGTGTTACCCCTCGAAACATGTTTTTGTATGGAGCTTTCGTTGAAGTTACCCCATGACGTGGGACGAAACTGTAGTACGATTGTATGGTAGAAGGCTAATCCCCTGTAGCATTATAGCAGACGACTATTAGCCTTCTAACATGAAGTCCGTTTAACATGCTAACAGTCATGCGCCACAGAATCCGCTAACATTGTAGCTGTGGCCCCCTGCAGGCTGGTTCAGGCAGTGCAGCTTCATTACGTACAGCCGCGACGTGGACATTGGGATTTTCATCAGCGACTATCGCCCTGATATCATTGCGGCCTTCCTGGATGCCGGACTATCACTCAAACACAAGTTTGGGAAGGTGATCATTTTGTCACCTTTAAGTTGTGTTCATTTGATGAGTTTTATTTTGAGAAGTCTCCATTGTGTGTGGGCTTTTATTTTGGCGGCCAGGTGGAGGACAGTCTGGAATTGTCCTTTGTGATGGATGGTGTCAAGCTGGACATCTTCTTCTTCTATGAAGATGGTGACCTGATCTGGAACGGCGGCACGCAGGCCAAGAGTGGCAGGAAGTTCAAGTAGGTGGACGGCAGCCATGTTTGCGATGGCAGTGGGGGCGGCCACATTGGTGACGGCGTTGATCCTTTTTGGCCTTGTAGGTACATATTCCCTCGCTTCTCGCTGTGCTGGGCTGAGCTGGCGGAGGTCCGAGTGGGAGTCCCGTGCGAGACGCTGGACTATGTGATGGCCAATTACGGTGCGGCATGGGACGTCCCGCAGAGGACATGGGACTGGAAGTCGTCACCCAGCAACGTCCAAGAAAACGGGATGTGGCCTCTCGCACAGTGGGAGGAGCTTATTCAAGTGTTTTGACACTCAATAAATTGAAAAAACAAATACTGTTTTTGCTTTTCTTTGTTGACATGTAATCATATTTTGAATGACTATCATTCGTATCAAACAATGACGCCCAGGACTGGCCCGTAAATACATTGGCTTTTCTGGAAATTTTACATTTTCCTGAAATTCCAGATGGCCACCCCACCGCTGTGTGTTGTGTTTGTAAATTGTGTCATGAATGGCTACAAGTCAAATGGAATACAGTCAACTGCTGCTATTTTCAGGTGGTAGGGACTGGGCCGGCCCACTAAAAGCGAAAATCCGCAAAAAATCCGCGTTAAATTGATCTCCAATTAAAATGCATCGGGGAGAAAACAAAATAGTGCCCAAATTTATCACAAAAGTTCTGAAAACATTCAATATACAATTTCCACGAAAAACTGCCGGGGGGGAATGTGGTTGAATCTCAGAAAAAAATGCCCCCTCTCTAAGTCCCCCAAAAAAGTATTTAAAAAAACAATTTCGCGGGTGCCGAACCACGAGTATGCGGGGGTGAATAGCAGCTTTTTAAAATGGGGCGTGGCTAGAAAAGGACCGGGGATTCGTGAATGTCTCATGACCGATCACGTGACAGAAGTGGTGACGCGTGTCAGCTGACTGCGGCGCGCCGATGACTTACAGGCAGTAGAGGCAGAGGACGTCGCTTAAAGATTCCCGAGGTCGTTGTCATTGTTTTGTCTGATCTTTTTTTTCTCACCATGGCGAGTCAGTCGCAAGGCATCCAGCAGCTGCTGCAGGCCGAGAAGAGAGCCGCCGAGAAGGTGGCCGAAGCCCGCAAACGTGAGTGGAGCCCCTGCGGCCTAGCCCAAACCCAAACGCAAGCCGACCCGACTGCTCTAAGGGAGGCTTCAACGCTTCCATCCGCCGAGAGCTCGTCTTTTGCTCTTCTTTCCATTGTAATGAATTGTCAATCACTTGTTTCAACATTCGTCGCTGTGCAGTCGTGACTCGGTTGGGGCCGATCGAACCGCTCGGTGGCCATGAGCACAGTTCCGAACGAGACGATAAACAACGGCAACGAGACCGAGGCGAAACCTTTGCGTCGTTTATTTATGTACGAAATATGTTCTGCGTTCTTAATCGTCGAAATTCAGGAGCGTTTTGGATGTGTCAAGTGAGCCTGCTTCCCTCTGGGATTCGGCTCCGTGACGTCACGCGCTACCAGGTAGAGTATTTAGTTGAATGAATATAAAGCTTCAAAATTAGTTGTGTGCAAGTGCATGTGCGCAGAGTAGCCACTAATTGGAGTAAAAAAACAGTTACTTTACAAATTTAGTTGAATAAAAGTAAAAAATAACTACTCAAGTATCCACTGAAAACTAAAAGTACTTGAGTATTGAGTAATCTTGAGAGCACAGTAACAACATTAATCAGCGCATATTGAAATTCACTTGAACTATTGCAATTTCATTCAATGCTATTTATAAATGTGTATATAATGTCGATCATGCAAACAATTATAAATTATAATTAAAGTAGCGTGGAATGTGCTCACTGTAACACATTAAAAATTACTTTCAAGAAAAATCCTGATGTAAAATTAGTGAGCGCAGGGAGGATAAGTCCTGCCTATAGACAAAAATACTCAAGTAAAAGTAAAAAGTATGTTGCATTAACCCGACTGCCTGTGACAAGTACGAATGGTCCTCAAAGTACTAAAGTCAATTTGGCGTGTAGCTAATTGCCCACCTGTCATTCGAGCCACCCAGGTGCCTTTTTCATGCGATTTGTTGGCTGAAGAGATCCACACGAAGATGTCACAGCAACAGCCACGGCGTCATTGGGCCAACCTGACGAAATCCAGTTGATGTTCACGATGATGTCGTTGCAGGTAAAAACCGGCGTCTGAAGCAAGCCAAGGAAGAAGCTCAAGCTGAGATTGAGCAATACCGGCTGCAGAGAGACAAAGAGTTTAAGACCAAAGAGGCGGCGGTGAGGACACGCCCACCAGCGCCATCGTTTCAATTCCCGCATGCACAGTTTGGCTTTCGCCGAATACCTTGATTCACACAATTTTCATTAATTCTTGCTTTTTGTGTGCAAAGGAACTATGTAGAAGCCAGTTAAGGAGCTTCATGTAGGTCATTGCCGCCATCCTGTGGCATCTATTGGCAATTACAGTAGTTGATCCCAGCAGATGCGGTGTAGTGTAATTTACACTTGTGCTATTGTGTAAGCTTGGCATGTGCTTGTGTTCAGGCGCTGGGTTCGCACGGCAACAGTGCGGTGGAGGTGGACCGCGACACGGCCGAGCGCATGGGCCGCATCCAAGCCAGTTACCGTGGTAACCGCGACGTGGTGCTGGGTGACCTCCTGCGCCGCGTGTGCGACATCCAGCCTGAGTTTCACGCCAATTATCGCGTGGCCGGCTAACACGGGATTAGTGGCAGACTATGTAGCGTTAGCATTGCGAGCGCAATTCTATTTCCTGTGTGTTTGTTGCTGTTTACAAATGTTGACAATTTGTTCATTTTAGTCCTCATAAATATTTCCTGAACATGTCCAATTAAGTTATTTGTTTCTTTTTGTCTTTTCTCTATCCTTATTGGCTGCTGATTTGGGCTTTTATTGTGAAAGTAATGTCCTCCTCCACAGCTCAAAGTGACTTCCTGTATGTGTTTGTGGTGCTGATGTAGGGAAGTGTCAATAAATATGAAACGTGTCACATTGTGGTGGTGATACAAAATGTAACCGAGAAAATCATTCAACTCTATTCACTGTCTCACAAAAGTGTCCATTGCTCATACATTTTATCTTTAGGGAAAACGCTGAAGAAGTGAATTGCACAACTGTAAGCAGACAGCTTGTACACCCAGCGCGTGTTGACTGTACCCTCTGAGTAACTCAACACAGCCATTCACGCCTTGACAACTGGTAACGAAAGTGGGCACACCCCTTTAAACACCAAATTTAACCGAACTGCTCCCAATTCGCAACGGAGTTCTTCCAACACGGAGTCACGTGACACTAGGGAAGGAAACGGGGCAAGACTGACCTACATTATCCCTTGAAAGAATACTTGCTTTTCTTGGCAGCTGTGTCTGTATTTATTTTACCAGATGTATGATTTTGGTGAACGCATTGTGCTTGAGTATATATATAAAAATATCAAAATAAAAAAAGGCCTCACAGATCTGCTTAGAGACGCCCAGAAGTCCTGAACCTCAAGACAATATCCAGGAAAGAAAAAAAAAATATTGCGTGTTTGTATCACTGTCTACAATATAAATTCCATCATGCATAAATATGACTTTTGCGTAACTCCTAATTACAAGGTGCCACCTGGGCTTCTTGCGTAGATGAATTTGAAATGTCTCGTTTTTACGGTTGGTCGTTGCTGTCGTGCCAACTTAAGAGTGCGCTCTTTAGCAAGCTCAAAAATATCACGAATTCGTTGCGAATTTCTCCATTGTGAGAAAAATAAAGCTTTTCCTATCTTATCAACCGTCGAGGTTGAATCCTTCCTCGCCGGACTAAGGCCACGTGATTTCGCCGCAGCTACCGGGCGACGTGGCTCAGATCAAGACACGCCTATTATTGGTAGACGTGTTCCAATTGGTCCATTTATTTGTCGGGCCCCTCATGTGAGCGCTGCGTGATGACGTCACCTACGGAAGTGACCCCCCCACCGTGCTCTCAGACGGGCAACAGAACCGACGACGACCCTAACTACACTACCACATTCTGTCTTTTTTCCCAATTTTTGCTATTTTCTTCTCTCCACATCGCATTTTTCCTCCGTTTTTTGTCTGCCTCGTGGAAGAATTCCCGGAAGTCTTCTAGGTCAGTGGAGTTGGTTTTCATGTCATTGACCTCTGCAGGCTTACTTTGTGACTATATAGTTAGCACACCTTAGTTTGTCCAGTTAAGATAGCCTAATCGTCATTTAGTTAGTCAATTCTTATTTATTTATCCCTTTTACTTCGTCAGCACATAAATATAAATTAACCACGAGACGAATCGATGTAACATAATGGGGAGAAGATAAAACAATGTATATTTCTTGATTTAAAATTTGTATTTAGTCTAGATTTCAAATTTATTGATCCTTGTATGGAAGTTGAGAACAGATTCTTGTTTTCACTGTCGACGTGGGTAAGACGAAACATGAAAATAACATGAAGCAAAAAAATAAATACAGGCAATATGCCAAGTTCATGCAATGCCTAAAAGTGTGTGTGTGTGAGTATATTACACACACACACACACACACACACACACACACACGCATCTTCATTTATATTTCACAAGAGCTGTAGCTGTAACGAAGCGCTTAGAGAACATCTAACAAAACATAACAATAATACAGTACAGAGAGCCTGAAATGTGCCAAGAGGAACACATAACAAAACATCGACAATAATACAATCGTAACAACTATTTCTTTGTACAACTTTGTACTTTGACGCAGTTAAAGATGAAAGAGGAGGGAGTCAAAGTCAAGCTACAAGCTAAGTTTGAACGTAAACAAGAAGCTTCAGTGTCCATTGACAAATACAGATATTGGTTCAATTCTCCTGACCTATTTGGATCCGCTTCAATACTAAGCGCCAGCACTATGTTCATTCAGTGTGTGTGTGTGTGTGTGTATATATATATATATATATATATATATATATATATATATATATATATATATATATGTGTGTGTATGTATGTACAACATGTATGTATGTATATGTCTGTGTAGGTCAAAGGTTGATGCAGGAATAGTTAGTGCGCCTAAAGGTCAAAGGTAGGTCGACCAGCAGATGAATCATTCACTCAATTGCTAGTCCCTGATCTCTACAAAAGGGATTTTTAGGTACTATCTAGGTGGACTATATATGAAATAAGTGACTGATTCTCCAAACAGCCCAACTTTGACCTTTTTAGTGCAAAGATAGAGGCGCGGTCTTTTCCCAATAAAGGACAACTTGTGTTAACGGTGCTGCTCCGCTACAGAAAAGCGTCATCTTGTTTTAACAAGCTCTGATTTGATTGGCCATTGCCCTCTTTTTTTGCCTGCGGCCACTCAGCCAATCGGATTACAGCCGAGTGCCTGCTGACTGTCACTGAAGATGCAGCTTCATTTTCATTGTCACGGCAACAAGGGTGGCCTGCTGATTGCCTGCTGAAGAACAGACATTGATTTGAAGAGTCAGTTTTGTTTTTCTGGAAGACAACTGAAGAGTAGGCTGCTTGGTGATTGGTTCATGTCTTGTTGGCGTTTTCCCGTTTCTATTTTCCGACTTTCAATTACTTTTTCACTTGACGTCGATACTAGGGGAACTGCACTAGTCTGGGCTGAGGTTCATTCTTGGTCCAAGACTCGACTCTACTGGCCTGCCTAAAGGTCAAAGACTAGACCGGACTGCACTAGGCTTTACTAAATTGGACTAGACTAGTCCGGACTAGGCTGTACTAGACTGGACCAGACTTGACCAGACTAGTCTTCGCTAAACTGGATTGGACTGTGTAAAGGTAAAAGATTTAGACTAGACTAGACTCTACTAAACTGGACTGTGATCTTGAGGTGTTTAAGTCAAGTTGTGTATGTGCTTGCATCAGCCATGAATCACAGCTCAATGCAGATGAACCACGACAACCACCATGAACACGTCCACCACCCGGGTCACGCTATGGTGACCACGCCCATGCCTACAAATGGGGGCGGACATGACCACGGAGGCGGAGCTGCTGGAGGGGGCCATGGAGGACATGGTGGACATGAGGGACATGGAGGCATGGTAGGGTGACGTTCTTATGCTAACACGCTAACGTGTTAACATCCACGTCACACACTAATGCTCACGCGGTTTCCTAGGCAATGACATTCTACTTTGGCTACGAGAAGGTGGAGCTGCTCTTCAGCGGACTTCTCATCAACTCGCCCGGAGGTGACGTTACGCCACCTTGACTCCTCCTCCTCCTATTTCTCCCTTGACTTGACTCCTCCCCATCCTCTTGTGTACTCCAATCAGAAATGGTGGGCGCATGCCTGGGCGTGTTCCTGTTGGCCGTCCTGTACGAGGGTCTGAAGATGGGGCGGGAGGCGCTGCTGCGGCGCAGTCAAGTCAACGTGCGCTACAACTGCATGCCGCTGCCCGGCGCGGACGGCACTATACTCATGGAGACGCACAAGACTGTCGGGTATTGCATGCCGGACACACGCTAATGCTCATAGCATAACGCTAGCCTATGATTAAATTGATAACAACTGTTTTCGATAACACTTATCCTCATTCGGGTTGCACTTAAAAATTGACATGCATTATCCGAGCCGATTATATTACTCGTTACTAAGTCCCACGTATTCGCAGCACTAGAAGTGTATATACTCCGGTGAAGAACCACCCCACGTACCGTGAAAATGAAAAGATATTCCATCGTATTCTTTTCCTTTCAGTCACTAAGTTGGTTACTCTTTGTGTACTTACATGCTAAGACGAATGCTATCCTGTTATGTTGTCAGGCAGAGGATGCTAAGCCCCTCCCACTTCCTTCAGACTCTGCTGCACATCATCCAGGTGGTGGTCAGTTACCTGCTGATGTTGGTCTTCATGACATACAATGCGTACCTGTGCATGGCAGTGGCAGCGGGCGCCGGCGCCGGCTACTTCCTGTTCAGCTGGCGCAAGGCGGTGGTGGTGGATATCACGGAGCACTGTCATTAGCGCTTCCCGTCATTAACGCTTCTTGTCATCAGTTTGTTTAGCTGGCAGAGACGCCGACAAACATTGCTGTAAGATGGTTGGCACGAAAACCTCGGGATGATTGGAAGTGAGGTCGAACCAATGCGATGGGAACTGTAGTTTGTAGCTTGATTTGCACACACTCGTCAGCCGCTAATTCGTGAACGTTTTGAGAAGTGTACACACTCGTGACATCATGTTAGTGGTTAATTGTGTTAATTATGAGTGTTTTTAAATGTGTTTTTTTTTTTTAGTTTGTTCTCGAGTGCCATGACATCAGACGCTAATGCTAACAACCTGCTCCTAGTGTCAGTGTTAGCTGTTAGCGTAGCAAGCGGCCATTACACATTTTATCTATTTGTTTAGCATCTTTGATACAATCAGACTGACTAAATTTTCTTGTTTGGTTTTTAGTATATGTAATGAAGAGACGTGAAACCAAAATGTTTACTTTTTAGGGGAGGTTCTGAAAGGTTATACGGGCCTTAAAGACACACGCTGCCTTAACAGTCTTTATGTTCAATGCGACAAATTGTCTTGTCAATTGAAGGGACCAATCTTGATGGAGGAGATTAAGAAAGAAAAGTTATGTATGCTGGAATCACTTAAACAAATAAAATTTGTAAGTGTCCACTTCCTGTCTGCATTCTTGCCCACTTGTTATCAAAATCATGCAAAACGGTTCGGTTTGATTTGATACATTAATGTTGTCGTTGGAGATGATTATTTTTTTCAACAATATTTGATGTTTTTTTTTAATTGCTAAATTTTCATGCTTTTTTTTCCAATTTAGTTTTTAACTTGGATACCTCAACGTTCACTGTTTTTAGAAGATGAAAGAGGGGTTTGACCTAATTTGGTCTTTGCTCAATGCTGTGTCCCACAGGAGGACATAGACTCGCTTCCTCAGCTCAGAGGGCATTGTTTGGTCACATTCCATGAGTGCGAAGCGCAGCTTCTGAACCACTATAGAAATTGTGAATCCATGCCCATACAGTATTTAGACAGAAGAACAACCCCGCTGTGAATTATGTTTTCCAATTTTCCTTATTTACTGTACTTGTTTATTTTGATACTACATTGGGAGAAAACAAAAGGCTTAAGTCGCCTACCAGTGCACAGGATGAGAAGTTGCTCCGTTTGACGCCGCAGGTGGCGCTAAGCAGTGTAGGGCGCAAGCTAGGGCCAGCTACAGCTTCCGGGTCAGAGGTGCCACTAGTGACAGGTCGCCGTCCGTCCGGGTCGTCCATCAATGTTTACGGGCTGACCATTTGCGCCGCGGTGGTCCTCGTTGGTTCTCTCGGTCCTCCTTTCTCATGGCGTCCAGACGACCGGACAGCTTCGACGGGCTCACCTACCGCGGCAACCGGGATGAGCCGCACTACTCGGCGGCTTACTCGCTCCGGAGCGCGGAGCCGCAGCAGCATCTCCACTGGGTCACCACACCGCCAGATATCCCCGGGAGCCGCAACCTCCACACCGGAGAGCGGACGCCGCTCTACGACGAGCCGCCGGGAGCTTCCGGGGGACCTGCTGGGGAGCGCGATTGGAACGCGGCGGCGGCGCAGGCTGGCGGCCCGCCTCCGCCTGGTGAGCAGCTTAGCTTAGCCTAGCCTAGTTAAACCCTTTTTACTTTAGCTCAGCCTAGTTTAGTTCAGCCCATCTTAGTTTAGCTCCGCTACCTTAGTCAGTTTACTTAAAATAGGTTAGGTTCACTCGGTTAATTAATTTCAGCCGTGAGGTCAAAGGGCGGGGCTTCGTTTTAGAACTACAGATGTGTAGCTGGCGCCTAGCCCTTCGTCTCCTGGTTTCAACCCCGCACCAAACACAAACACACACACACACACACACACACACACACACACACACACACATATGGAGAGCACCCCATATGGCTCAGACATGGCCCATATTTGCTCCAATTATTGTATTGAAATGTGATTGGGAAGTAATTTGACTTTTGTTTTGTACGTTTGTGATTGCAGAGCAGCTGAATCGCCTCACAGGTTTCGGGATCGGATTCGTCAGGTGATCATGATGATGTCGCGATGATGCCCTGTTGTCAATGTGACGGTCGGCCGCTAACGCGCTCGGTCGCGCAGTCTGTTTGCAGAGAACGTGCTGACTCACCCGTGCGTGGTCTTTCGCCGGCAGTGTCAGGTGACCCTTGACCTCACGCCTCCTCCGCCACGTCCACCTGCGGCCGCCCGCACCCACGCCCTTTATTTTTTTTCCCGCAGGTCAACTACCACGCGCGCTGTGACCACCTGACGCCGTTCAGCGCACTCGCCGTCATGTACGCCATCAGCAAAGCTCAGGTATGCCACCCGTCATGTGAGCGGTCACCCTGCCTAACGATTGTTAAAAAGACAATCTTGAAGGTGAAAAGTCCAATTATTTGGTTGTTCTTGTTAATTCGTGTGCAAATTCTATCGTTGGTGGGGGGGGGGTTGAAACCATGGCGACTGAAGGTTTTGCTGTACAGGGTCCCAGGGCATTGTGGAAGGGGATGGGCAGCACCTTCATCGTGCATGGCGTCACGCTGGGAGCCGAGGGCATCATCAGCGAGTTCACGCCGTTGCCAAGGTAACCGGCAGCAGTCATGCCTTTTTCTTTTTTTTTTTTTTTTCTTTTTTTTTTGCTGCTCACGGCGCGCCCTTGATACCAAACGTTTGTGCTCATAGGGAGATTCCTCACCGCTGGAGCGCTAAACAGTTGGCCGGTCATTTTCTACTCAAAGGGTTTGTTATTTTTTTTTTGTTTGTTTGGTTGGTTTTTCCTCTTTTTAGACATTTTAATCGGAAAACAGCAACAGTTTCGTCAATTACCGGAGAGCATCAAATTTTGGATACTATATCGACCATTGCTGGTATCTTTGTTTTGACACCAAGTGTGACTTCCTGTTGGCAGTTTGACCGCGGTGGTGGCACTTCCTTTCTACTGCTCCAGCCTGATCGAGACCGTGCAGGTGAGGCCTTCATTCGTTCTTTTCGTCGATCTGCAAAGTGGACGGACGTGTGCAGAAAGGCTTCGCTGAGGAATTTGAGAATATTTCAATTAAGTCATCAAATGATGCCGTCTTTCGCATTTTTGAACAGTTCACGTAGTCCTTATTATATGCTGTCACACGCCATATTTACGTGGGAAAAAAAGACTATTTTTCAACCTTGGGAGGATGGTGATGTAACTTCCCGTGACTCCGCAGAGCGAGATCGTGCGCGACGAGTCGTCGTCGGGGCTGCTGGATTGCGTGCGCGAAGGTCTGGCCCGCCTCCTGGGCATGGGTGCCCCACACAGTCGGCGCCTGCTCCCTCTCAGCTGCCTGCTGCTTCCCGCCGTGTGTCACGCTGTCCTGCGCTACGCCGCAGCCACCGCCGTGCAGCGCGCCGCCCTGTGGCTGCACCGGCGCGCCAAGCAACGGCGGCAGGGCTCGGCCGACCCGCCGGCGGACCCGTTGGAGACCCACTTCCCGGAGCTGGCGGCAGCGTGGTTAGGCTCATTAGTTGCGGACGCGCTGACCTTCCCACTGGAGACGGCGTTGCACCGCCTCAGCCTGCAGGGCACCCGCACCATCATCGATGCCACCGATGGCGTTGCGGCGGGTAACGGCGGCAGCCCGCTGGTGCTGCCCGTCAACACGCAGTACGACGGCGCGGCCGACTGCTTCCACTCCATCCGCCGCAAAGAGGGCTGGGCCGCCTTTTACCGTGGCTTCGGCGCTCTGGTGGCCCAGTTTGCGCTGCACGGCGCTTTGTTGGCCGCCGCCCGGACACTTCTGAGGCTGCTGTTGTTGGAGGCCAAGGCGGGCTAGAGGCGCAGTCCCGTCATCCTCCGCGTGTCACCATGGAAACAGCAAAAGATCCTGTGTGTGTGTATGTATTTATTTGGCTTGGACAAAAATGGAGACCGCTGCAAAATGATCAGTTTCTTTTGGTTTTGGTATTTTTGGAGTAGCTGGAGGCGACCCAGGTGAGCGTGGGTTCTCCGGCGACTCCCACAATCATGCCAACCTCCATCCTCACCAGGGCAAGGAGAGTCTGCCAAACCCTGGCAACTACTGATGTCACTTCCACATCCCAATATTGTCATTTATTTGCAGAACAAAAAAAAAATGTTGGTCTCTATTTTTTCTCCCCCCCCCTGCACTGTAAGTTAATTGTATATATAGACAGCTGATCATGTGATAAATATTACGGCGTTAGATTTGCTTAGTTCAGCATAAAGACTTCACTTCTTGTCTCCGTGAACGCATGAAGCCAATAAGCATTTTATTTGTATAAACTTGTCATCAAACCAAAGTGGAAAATAACAAAAAAAAATAAAAATTGTCATCCGAAGACTTGCTATTCTGAAACATTAAAATTCAGATCAAAATGTCTCGTCTTTCTCTTGTTTTTAATCCTCAACCATTTGAGTAATTTAGTTACATACAATAATGCCTTGAGGTACGAGTGACTGCACTGAGAATATTTTTGAAATACACGCCATCGTCCAATTAATTTTATTTTTGGGGGGGTACTTTGACCTCCAGGAACCACTGGCTGGTTCGCAGTACTTTGAAATGGCTCTAGGTCAAGTGGAACCCAATTTGCAAGATCAGGCCGCGTTTGTTCATTGTTTTGTTTTGTTTTTCGCAAGGAGGTAACTATTGCGCATGCGCGTCAGTAATATTGACGTCAACCCTAACCCGGACGTGACGGCTGATGACAGCGGCGCTCCAATTTGCGGTGTTTTTGCGCTCTCCGTCGCCTTAATTCTATTTGATCACAAGCGAGCGTTCAAAGGGGCGACTTAGTCGCCTTGATACAAGCGGACAAATCAGGAACGGTAAGAGCCCAAACGTCTCCAGTTGCTATTGAGCCAGGCCATGCCAACTAGCTAGCGAGCGAGTTAGCAGGAACAATCCTGACCTTTTTCTCCTTTTACTAATTCAAACGGAATCATTTGCTGCTGCCTGCTTGTAAACATTCATGCGAAGCTACTGAATAGTTTCAATTACGTCGTCAGTCATCTCGCAGTGACGTCAGGAAAGATGTCGCTTGACCAGGAATGTTAATGACATGCATGCAATTAATGAAAACACGCACAAACGATCAAACTCGGAAATTAAAAAAAAAAAAAATGACGTGATGCAACTGGAATCTAAGTTTTGTTGTGGTGAACTAAAGAAAAAAAGTGCAAAGTTATTCTTGAGCCCTGGTAAAGTAACTCAACTTTAAATACAACCTCAAAGAAAAAATAGGAAATCATTTGGAACAGGCAGAGGAATATTAACTATATTCAAATAATTGCAACTAAAAAAAAAAAATTCATACAGTGAATGCAGTCTCCTCTGTTCCTGCAGTGTGCACTTTGGCCTCTTAGTGGCAGTGTGGTGCTTGCTTGGAGATGCACTTACATGAAATAAAAAAAGTAAAATAAGAAAATAGCGCACTTTATCCATGTATTTATGTTTTTTGTTCATTAAGAAGGATCGTTATTGTCGTCTAAATGAATCCGTACAGCGTTTGTGTGTGAAGATTTGTTGTTTGAAATGATGATGTCGAATGCTAATTTTTTGCTAGCTTGTCAATTGGGTTTTCCATAGAGTGTTAGCACCCCGCACCATTTTTTTTTTTTGTCACATGAATCTTTTTTTCTTACATTAGAGTTCTTGCATTTCTTACCGGTGGAGGCGTGGCCTGAGGCCGGCGCGTCAGGATGAGCGGGGCGGCGCTGGGCGTGGAGATGGTAGTGGTGTTCTTCCTGGCACTCTTCCTGCTGCATCGCTACGGAGACTTCCGGAAGCAGCAGCGGATGGTCCTGTTTGGAACGCTGCTGGCCTGGTACCTCTGCTTCCTCATCGTCTTCATCCTGCCGCTCGACGTCACCACGGTCGGCCTGAGCATCTTCTCATGGCACGCCGGTTGTCAGTCGCCCGTCTAAACTCTGCCCTGTTGCAGACCATCTACAATCAGTGCCGCACGGACCGCCAAGTTCACGCCACGGGCCCTCCCCTGTCCAATCAGACGTCAGGGAACGCGTCCGCCGCACCCACTCAGAGGTTGACGCGGCCGATGCGTTTGTGTGCCGTGCCTTCCGACTTGGCGTAACCCTGCTTCCTCCCCGCAGTGTGCGATTGGCGTGCTATAAACCGTGGAGCTACATCCCCGACGGCGTCATGCCCGTTTTCTGGCGGGTGGTCTACTGGACATCCCAGTGCCTCACCTGGTCAGTATGTGTGACGGCGGCAATTGTTGGGGGTGTCATCGGTGGGCAGCGATCGATCGGCTGCGGGTGGCGACCGCCGATCGGCCCGCGATGACGGACGCTGCGCTGATGTCACCCAGGTTGCTGCTGCCATTCATGCAGTCGTACGCACGCTCGGGTGGTTTCTCCATGGCCGGGAAGGTTCAGACGGCCCTCATCGAGAACGCCATCTACTACGGAACCTACCTGCTCATTTTCGGCTCGCTGCTCATCTACGTGGCCGTCCATCCCGATTGGCACCTGTCCTGGTCAGAGCCTGACTCCCAGTTGGTGTTTCCAGCCGTCGCATCTCGGCGAATCCTAGCTCACGTGTTCGGTGATCATCAGGTACCAGCTGCAGACCATCGGCATCACGGCGGCCAACACTTGGGGTTTGTTCCTGCTGGTTTTGCTGCTGGGCTACGGCCTGGTGGAGATCCCGCGCTCTTACTGGAATGCCTCCAGACACGGACACATGCTCCTCAAGACCTACTTCAAGGCCTCCAAGCTCATGACGGAGAAGGCGGACGCTGAGGAGAACCTGGAGGACGTCATGGAGGTGAATGAATGTCCAGATTAGACTAATGTCTGCTTCTGATCAAAAGAATTGTTTAGAAGTATGCGCGAATGATACATTTCCCAGTCAATTCCCAAATCAAGAGTCCAATTTGGAACATTCGCCAAATCCCTCATGTAAAATTCTTTCGGAAATGTACGGTCAACATTCCCTCAGAAAAATTCTCGAACTTTCCCCCTTTTTTTTCCCTTCCCTAATTGTGACTCGTGCACTGTTGCCAGGAGGTGAGAAAAGTGAGCGAGGCCATCAAGTACAACCATCCTCTGAGAAAGTGCGTCGACACCATCCTCAGGAAGGTGAGTCGCGTCTATGCCGTGACACCGCCGCCGCCGCCTTCCCTCACCTGTCCGACCCGGGCCCCGCCCCCTTAGTGCCCGACGGACTACCAGGACAAGTTGGGCCGCAACATGGACGACTACGAGGACTTTGAGGACAAGCAGACGTTCCCCAGCGAGAGGAGTCTGGTCAAGCTGCACAAGCAGGTAACAAGGAAGCGGCCGACGCGCAGCTC